TCCTTATTATTTTTTATACTTAAATCAAGCCACGGCGTTAGCCTAGAATAATTAAGGTTTTATTAATAAAGATCACGCATTTCTAGTTTTTAATAGTCTAGTTTTAATAAGCTATATAAAACTTTAAGCGTTTAATTTAAGTAGCTTTAGTTAAACTAGGTTTATAAAAGGGCTTAATAAAAAAAAGTCCATGTTTATAAAAAATTTATAAAATAAAAAAATAAGAAATACCGGCTTTAAATATAAAAATCTTTAAAAATTTCTCGTGCCCTAAGTAATTTATTATAACTAAAGTTATAATAACTTTTTAAATATTTTTATTAATCTTAACAGGCCTTTTAAAGCGCTTGCTATTTTTAATAAATTTAATATATATTTAAAAAACTTTAGTTTTTTTAGCTAATAGCCCCGGTGTTTACCTTTTTTAATAATATTATAAATAATATATATAAAAAGTTTTAAAAGCCTAAAAATTTTTACTACATGCTTATTAATAGCCTAAAAAGTTAAAACTTGCACTTAAACCTTATTAAAATAAAACCTGCCTTTAGGTATTATTATATAAGAAAACTAGTATTAAGAATTAAAAGAATTATAAAGGGGGATTAAGTAATTAATTTAAGCTAAAAATTAAGTTAAAACACTAAAAATTTATTAAAATAGGCCAAGTTATGGTATAAGAATAGTATTATAAAGTTTACTAAATTATAAAATACAAAGCTATTAAGGGGGCATAAAAAAGTAATTATAAAAAAGTATTAAATATTACTATTTTTATAGTAATTACTATATATTCCTAAACACGTAATACCAACCCTTGGCATTCTTGGCGTGCGGAAACTTTTGGTGCACGTCTCCGTATATAAAAGTGTTATTATTAACTTTAAATTTTTTATATATATTACTAATAACCTTACCAAAATAATTAATATCTATAACACCTTTAAAAATAATATTATTTTTATTAGTAATATTATTAATAAAATTAAAAAATTTAGTATACTCCGCGTTTTTTACAGGGGACTAAATAGCTTAAAAAGGCTTTTAAAACTTAAAAATTACACTTATATTCCTAGCTTTTATATTATTATTATATTTTTTAATAAAGCCATGTTAGTAAATCTATATTTTAGTAGCTATAAAAAAACTTTTAAAAACTTAAAAAAAATAAACTTTTATATACTTAAATAATATTATAAATTATACACACTTTACTATAAGAAATTTAATATTAATAATAATAAAAAGATTAAGGCCTCTTACGCTATAATAAAAATAAAAATTTAATACTTTATAACTTTAAAAATATTATTAAAAAGCCTAAAAATTTAGTATAAGTGTATAGGCCACCTTAATACTAATATAGTATTTAAATTCTTAATATTTATAACTAGTATATAAATTAATCCAGCGCCTTAGCTTTTTAATAAAAAATAAAAAAAAAAACTACTTTACGCGCCATGTAAACTTATAATTTTTTAAGTAAATATTATAAATTAAATTAATTAAAGTAACCTAACCCTTTAAAAAAAATTATTTTATTATTTTTACTTTTAAAGCATTTTAAAATAATATAAAATATACCTTTTATTTTTTAAATAATATTACTTAAATAAAATAAATAGTACTACATGCTAAAAAAAATAATTACTAGTATATTATTTAATTACTTAATACCTATGCCTTTAAGTAATTTAGCCTTTATATTTAATTTTTTATATATAAATAATAAGATATTATAGCTTTTAAATAACTTTAAATTTATTAAAAAATAATAAGGTTTAGCCTTTAAAATTATTATTTTTAATATACTTAAATAAAATAGCGTAAGCAAGTAATTAAAAAAAATTATTTTATAAAAAGCTAAAGCACTTTTATTAGTTACTAATATACCTTAAAATTTTATATTTAAAATTATAAAAATATTTATTTATATACTAAATTACACGCCTATAAAAAATAAAAAAAATAAATAGTTTATACCACTTTAAAAGTTTTAAGTATTAATAAGTAATACTTACCTAGTAAATATAGCTAATATTTTTAAGTTTAGATTACTTGCCTACTAGCAGCTAAAAATCCCTAACTTTTATAAAATAAAGCTAAAAATAGCTATTAAATATTTTTATAAATATAAAAAAGTTTATAATATTTAAAAAATTTAGAACCCTCGCGCTAAAGCCATATAATATTTAATTATTTAAGTAAAAAATATAGTATTTAATAAAGCAAGAACCTATAATAAAAATAACCTAATTTATATAGCTAGTTTAAAATACACTATTTTAGCATATATTAATAAAAAAAAAACTAGTTAATATACTATTTTTTATTAGCTTTAAAAATAATTTTTTTAAACTTAATAATTAAAATAAGCCTACTCCTAAGCCTAATAACATAAAAATAGGTAAAAATAAAAAGGTTAAGAATAATAAACCTTATGCTAAAATTAATACTTAAAATAAAGCTATTTTTAACTTACTTAGTAATTTAATATTATATAATAATAAAAACCTTATAATTTTATTTATTTTTATTACTAGCCTAAGCTTAGTAAGTATTATAATTAATTAAAGCTCTTAAACCTATAATAATTATAAAATTATTTTAATAATACCTAACTAGGTAGTAAAAAGTAAAAAAAATAAGAAAATTTTTAACTTTAAAAATAACAGCGCTAAAGGGCTCCTATAACTAAAAAATAATATACATAAAAATAATAATAAAAAAAATATTAATATTACTTTTTTTTAAAAAATCTAACCTAAAACCATATAAAATTAATATAAAAAAAAAGTAAAATCCTAATCCTAGACTCCTAACTACATAGGTTAAATTAAATAAAAAGGCCTAATATAACTACCTACACTAAAAGTAAGATTTAAAAAATTTTATAAATAAAAACTACCTAAAATAAAGGCCTTTTTTTAAAGTTTTTTATACTAAACTTTTTTACTAGCTAGTAAAAAACTTTACTAAATACTATATTTTTTTTTACTTAGTAATTTTTAAGCCTCCCGGACCATTATAAAAGGCACTAAATAAAGTTATTTATTAAAATTAGCTTTAAAAAAAAAACTAAAAAACTAGGCAAAACTTATAAAGTATTTATATAAAAACTAGTTTATAAAGGCTGCTAAAATTAAATTTAGTACTTTTAAAAAACTTTATATTTTTAAAATTATTTTTATATTAAAAGGCAAAATTATTATACTACTTATATAAGTATTTAAATATAAATTTAATATTACTAGTTATTTTAATAAATTTAAAGCGTGCCTTTACACTAAAAAAAATCTTTAATTTAATAACTATACTAATATTATAGTAATAATTTTTACCACCTAATTATTTTAACTTATAATAATACTTATTACTTATTTTAACCTTAATATTATTTAATTAAATATTATTAATACCTTTATTTAAAGCTTTATAAATAAAAAAATATATATTAAAATACCACCTAGCCCCTAGCGTGTTAAAGGCAGAGTATTTAAGTTAAATTAATTTTTATATAGCCTTAAATAATTATCACGCATTTAATAAAAAAAAATATTTTTAATATTTTTTAAATATAGCTTTAAACTAGTGCTGGAAAAGCCTTGCCTTTTTATTATAAAGTATTTTATAATTATTTTTTTTATTAATAATATACTTATTATAAGCAAAAGATTAGCTAAAGCTAAAAAAAAGGCCATTAACTTTATTAAATATATAAAATATATATATAAATTATAAAATCTTGGTAAAGTAAAGTGGTTTTTAAATATTAAAATTATTTATAATTATTATAATTAAAAAATTTAGTTACTTTAAGATTTTTATATTAATAATTTATAAGCTAAATATAACCTTATAGCATTAAGTAAAATATTAAAAATATTTTTACTTATTAAAAAACTAACACCTGCACCTTTAAATTATATATTTATAAAGTAAAATATTTTTTTATATTAATAACTTATTAGCTTATTTTTTTATTTTATTATAATAATATATTTTAACACCTTTAAAGTAGCTAGCAAGCTTGCTTAGCATATAATATAGCTTATTAAAATTTATATTAAAATAATTAAATATGCTATTTAGTATTTTATTATTATAAAAAACCTAGGAATTAAATATTTAGTTAATACTAAAAAAATTATTATTATGGCCTTTAATATATTTTTTAGTAATAATCTTAATTAATAAAGCTTTAATAAATGGCTTATAAAATTATTTAAAGGTTTAATTAATTAAAATACTTGCAAGTAAAAAATAATTACTATTTTTATTATTAAAGCTAAATTACTTACTATTACTAAAAAAGTAAAAAACCTTATATAATAAAAAAAACTTTTTAATATTATAAAATTTAATTTAAAGGTTAAATTATACTTTTTTTATAATAATACTTAAATTATATAATTACTTAACTTAAATAACCCTATATTTATTATATAATTTTAATATATTAATATTTATTATTACTAGCTTTGCAAGAAGTGTTAAAATAAAAAAATTAAAATTAATTAAATAAAAATAAAAAATAAATTAATAAATAGCCTTATTAAACTTTTTAATAACCTGCGCTATAAAATATTTATTTACTAACTTAGTTTTATTAAAATTAAAGCTATTTTTAATACCTAGTATTAGTATTTTTATTTTTTTAAGTATTAAGGGGTATATTAAATAAAAAATAGAAATTTTTTAAATTTTTATGGTAAACTTAGTTAAATAACTTTAACTAACCTTTAAAAATAAAAAAAAAATTAACCTTTAACTTTAGCCGGATCTCACGGCCTAATTAAGAAATAAAATATAAAAAAAAAATAAATATAGCTTAAATTCTTTTATATTTAGCTATTAAACTCTTACATCCTTATTTATCTTAAATCCTAAGAAATCTTATATTTTGTTTACCCCTTAATTCTTATCCTAATCTTACATGACTAATTTCTGCCTGAGGCATCCGTAACTCCGAAACGTCGCTAGTTATCATTCTCGAGATTTCAGAAATTGAACTCGGGGTTGCCTATGTCGAGCCAATCCCAGCTCATCATGTCATCGAGAGGAACATCTGGAACGCTCGCTCCGAAAGCGATACCAGCCCGGTTGACAGCATCGATAATCTGATCGTCAGACATGGCCGAGAACTGCATCGGCTCAGACCAGAATACGGAAGGCGCGAAGGCCTCTTGAACGGTGGTTGGAATGGAATTAACTGTATCCAGGGTCGTCGACGGGAGTGCTTCTGTTTGAGGAGCTCGAGGATCTGCCTGAGCCTGTGGGTCTACACTGGCCGGTGTACGTCGAACAAGTTCACGCAGGAACCTCCCGTAAAGTACAGATGCTCCGTTTCTATGACCGGGAGTAGTTCCGATCCTTTCGAGGACTCCAGCAGTTTCTTCAATCAGGTTCCGAACACTTGGGGCCAAGCTGGAACTGCTATCGGTTGGCATCGCGCTGAGGCTCAGTGCGGAGCATGCAGCGAAAGAAATCATGATGACGGTATTGTTCGGCATTGACTTCAACCTCGCTTCACCTTGGATGGCGGCCCGCATGACATTCAGGGCCGAGGAAAGGCCAGCCGCACGAAAGAACCGCTTGACTTCAACAGGCGCTGTAGGGTGATTTATCACGCCACCGTACGTCGAAAGTTGTGTATGCGTAACCAGAATTTCCACATACGGCGGAAGGGTTCGTACTTCGACAATCAGCATTTGGGACTCACAATGGTTGAGATTTCTACTCACATTGGCCTTCGCCGATCTCCGGCGCCCATGTTTCGTACCATTCAGTATAAAACCTCTCTATCGTTTCCTTGATTCTGTCGCTCGATTAATTTCCGAACGACTTTTAGGGCTCATGGGAGTACTTACGATTGTGCGACTCCAGAACCAGTGCTGCTCCCCTGGTAGCTATCACAGTTGGACTTGACCCTTGTGAAGAGCCCATCCTGATTCGTTGTCAACCATCACCCTCACCCTAACTGGGGCTAGCTTACCAGGTTCCTTCGAAGGATAGCCATCGAATTCATGGCGCCATCACGAGAATCTGCAAGATCTGAGATATGCCAGCGATCGCAGTTCTCAATCAGGGCAGTTGGGGGCACTGTATAACTCCTCCCGCGAGCTAGGCATACACTGCCAGATGTCAGTGAGTTCTTAATCTTGTATATATATACTCACCCACGCTCGAGGACGAACAAGGCTATCCACGTTCTCTCTCGTCTTCGTAGTAGTCTTCGGCCCCGATCAGAACCGGGGTCAATGTCTTCAAAACCATCAATCTGCAAAGCCCTTCTAGCATCAATGCAATCGACTTTAGCAAGTTTTCGTAAAAGCCCAATGTCAAAGCTTGTTGACGGCAATACTATTTTGTTCAGGGACAAATCCAGTGCCACCGTCAAAGCCATGGCAATGTAGGGGCAAGCATCATCATCACCCAGGCAACCTCCCGGCGCCATCCATGGAACGTTGACCATGAAAGCTAGGACAATTTCTACCGATCTGAGGCGCTCTTGCACTACCTTGTTGGCCAACAACTTGCTATGTCTGGACAGTCTTTTGGACATTGCTGCTGCTGACGGCAGAAATAGGGCAGTGGTAGCCATGATCGACGTGAAGAGGAAGGCTGATTGAGATCGAACAAACTCGACGGTATGAATCAAAGGATCAAGGCCCCATCTGGTATGTGCGAGGTTCTGGTGAAAACTGTGATAATGAGTATATGGCTATTGCTGGGTTATATGATAGAACCTACAACGTGAAAAGAGATTCAGCTTCCGGCAGAGTCACAAGCCCGACGTCGATAGGATCCATATCCGGCCCGATATCTAGGCTAGCTCTGACCGGCACGAAAAAGGGTTTCGTCGCAGTGGCGTTACTCTCGGCGGCCATTGACAAGCCCGACGCTGGCTGCGGAGTCGCGAATGAAGGCCACGTTGCCGTATCCCGTGCATCATTTGGGGATAGCTGGAGATCGGAAGCGCGGGCGAGTAACTGTAAGGGGTTTTCTGCATCGTCCAGCGCCAGGCTTTCCCCAGAGTTGGAATCGCGGGGAAAATGCAGAGGTTCCGGTTGATCGGGATCCTCGGAAAAGTCCTCACTCTCGTTCTGAGATTTTTGCCTTTGAGTTTTGCTGAGCAGATCTTGGAGATCGGAAATCATTTTCTGAGCAGCTTCAGCAGCAGGGTGATCAGCCTTGGGGCGCTTGATGGCCTGCTCAATCTGGTGGAGTGCTTTCTCTAAGCCCTTTCGTTTGCTGGTAGCGCATTATCAGCATTCATTCATCTTGAGACACAAAGATGGGCAATCTTACTTCTTTACTCCCTTCTGTCTTCCGACATGGTGACTCGGGACAACACACTCCAACCCGGCATGCCTACACTTGTCGCATGAAGTCCCTCCCCGGCTGCGGTCACACCGTATCTTGCTTTTTCGGCAGTTAAGACACGCGGCCTGGCGGCTGTGTGATGCTCTTCGACGGCTTGCTGGTACCAAGTCTTCCATCCCCGGCCCTGAACAATGGACGGACAAGGGGCTGAAGCTGTACAACTTGACTTCCGAGGTGGGTATACCCTTGGTGCTTAAAGCGTCGGTAAGTCTGTCATTCTGATTAGCTAAATGGCCCAATATCTCACTAGCAGCGATCTACCCTGCAACTGTCGTAACCAAGTAAGACTAAGACACCGCAGTCTTTTAGTTGTAATTCGGCTCAGTGGCCACCACAGAAAAGGAAAAGTAAGAGAGGCAATAAAAATACAAAAAGGATAAGCCGACCCGGGGGTCGACCCCAACCTTGAGATTAAGTCACGTCTGCGGACTGATCCCGGCGACTTGATAAAAGTAGCTGTAATAATTAAATCTATCAAAAAAAGCCTACAAGACCTCAAGATTCATTTGAGGATAAACAGCCTCCTTATTCAGTGCTCTAAATTGGAGAGCATATAAAAGACCGCAAGAATCCAGTAATCGCCAGCAAGCAGAATTAGAAATAAAATGCGTTAACAGGACCCAAAACAGAAGACAGGTATATACAGGGTAGTTTATGACAGATTGAACCCAGAATCATTGCGTGCTTCTCCATAATTCGCCAGGAATATATGAAAAAGGAAAAAGAGTTATGTGAACACAAACAATATCAGTTGGCAGCCCGCAGGGCTCGCAGTCTAGCACCTAGGCCATCCTCAACATCTGCGTCAACCTTCGTCTGTTCCTTCACATCCTCTTTGGGCGCAGAGTCCTGCTCCAAGGCAAGTCGCATGTCAACGCCCGCATCGTCGGCCAGCTGCTCCATTAGGCGATCAACATCCGCTTCACCCTCGGCCCCGTACTCTTGCATCGAAACACCCTGAGCCACGTCTTCAATAGCGCTGCTCGCAATTTTGAAGTCTTCGGAGCGTGCGAGAAAGTTGTTTGCGTGAGAAACCAGTGTCTCAAGGTTCACACTCTTAGATGCGGCGTCTAATCCTCGTGAGGCTAATGCAAGTGTCCTTGACGTATCTCGAGTGCTCTGCGCGGCCTTCAGCTCGTTTATGATGACGTCTGCACGAGCTGCTTCCGCTTTCAAGTTGACCTGTCGACGTTTTTCGCGTACGGCAGAGGAGGCGTGGATCCGGGCGATTTGGAACTCGCGATTTTTCATCGCCTTGTCGGCTTTTGCTTTCTCGGACTTGAATGTCGCCTCTGCTCGTGCGGCCTCCTTCTTGAGACGATTTGAATGTAGCTGTGATGGACAAAGATCGTTAACAGATTGTCTTTGAAACCGATGCGGGGGAGTAATGCGAAAAGCGGCGATTTCAGGCCTCAAGACTCACTTTGACATTCGTGCGAGCTTCAAAAATAGGATCCTTTCGAACCATGTTGTATGCTAGTAAAGATTTATTGACAGTATAGAGAGAACACAAAACTCTAGGCTAAACATAGAAAACGTCGGGATTCAGATGGTTGGGTTGGAAAGGGGAGCGGTTCTAGAATGGATCGGAGGGGCCTGTGTGGCAACGTCATTCCGAGCCCCATCTCCGACCGGGGTCTCTCTCCGCAAGCTGTGATTATTGACTCCGTGCAACGGAGAATAATACTCTACCCGACCCCTTACTACGATGTAGAAAATTAAGTGGCTTCTAATTTGATTTATCCCGCTCAGAACAACCCCCTGAAAGATCTAGACTGGTCGAAAGATGGCTTTCACATGGAAATATATTCCTACATATCCCTGTCAGCAGCCTTTGTCTGCCCTGATGCTCTCACTGAAAACTTTACATATACATAACCAAAGAACAAGTCTAGAAAAGCATTGAATACCTTCAGACGCTAATGTACAAATTATCGTAAGCCCTTTCCCATCAGCAGAGACGTCAACGTCTCTCTTGAACTGGACGAACTCCGTGAACTCCGCGTAACCCTGTATCGCTTCCCTGAATTAATACGCCGACCGCACTCCAACGACTTCATGCCCCTCAAGGTGCTTCTTCGTCTTTCTGGCATCTCAAGAAAATTTATCGCCGACGCCAGAGTCAATAAGGATTCCCAGCTCCATCGACCCTCTGCAACATCGGTAACCAAATGATCTTCCCGAGAGAACCTCTCACGCGCCGCCAGCTGCAATGCCCTGCCCGTCGCATCGCGAAGTGGACGCGCCATGGCTGGGTTGCAAGCTAGCAGCCTTGCAAGAAGTTGGATCCGGAAGGCTGTTGGGTTGCTCGAGGTCTTCGAGGGTGATAGGCTCGGTGTCAAAATCAACCATAGAATCAAATGAAAATGCTGATAAATCTCCTGAGTCGAGAACGTCAAAGGCGAACCCGTCTTCAAGGAGTGAAGAATCCGACTCAAGGGATGAATCACCGTGGAATAAGCGGTGGAAGTCATCGTCAGAAAGAGGAGCTGTAACGTCATGTGTAGGCTCATGCTTGATGCTGGCTTCAAGGTCGAAAAGAGACAAGGCACTTCCATCTCCTTCGAGTCCGCCGACTGACACTGCAGGTCACACAACATCACTGCAGGATGTTGTGTCAGGTCGGAGGACTCAGCCAGAGAGGAAGGCTTAAGAGTGGGGGAGTAGTCGGTAACAGATGGGGTCGGGAAGGGAATGCGGTCGAGAGAGACTTCGTCGCCCTCCTGCTTGAACAGAGTCGGGGTGAGGGTTGGCGAAACTGACGCCGGAGAGCTGGCCGTCGGGGTGTTATGACGGGAACCCCGGACCTCTGCTGAGAGTTGAGCAACTTGTTGGCTTAGTCGGTTGTTCTCAGCTTCCATCTGGGCGAGGCGTTGAAGAAGGAATTGGTTTTGTTGTTCCATGTCAATCTTCTCGTTTTCCAGCTTTTCCATCTCAAGTCTCTTGCGCTCGCGAGACGTCTGTGCAGCTGCGCGGTTGCGGAGGACTCGCTCAATCCGGCGCTGCTCCTTTTCATCCTCTGTCTTGGCGCGCTTTCTGTGACAGCTGTTAGCACGAATAGTGGCAAAGTGTTTACAACTTACCTAGGAGGTAGATTTGTCTTAGGAACTGGTAATTCCTGGCCCCATGACTTTCTCTTCTTCGCTGGCTTCTTCTCCTCGGGCTTTGTCCCGGCCTCCACACCCTCGGCCTGGAGGGATGTGTCAGCTGGGGAGACAGTGAGCACGGGAACCTCTATCGATGGGGTAGAGGGCAAAGAGTCTGTGAAAGTGTTCTCCATTTTCACTGGCGATGTCTGGTCATAAACAACTCAAGATCGATATAAACCGCGAGAAGAACAAAATTCGTTATCGAGTTTGGAGATCTGACAATGAGAGTTGGCCGTATTCAAGACAAAAGGCCACGGTGTCATAGCGGAATCGAAGCTCAAGGCTACAATCCCGACCAGTGAAAGTGTTGGGGCTCAGGTACCAGAAGTGACAAGTGTGGGGAGACTGAAAAGGACAGATTGTTCATAAAAAAGGCCGTGCTGCTGCTGTGAGATGGATGGGAACTGGCTGGCTCTTTAAAGGCCACGCTGGTCACTTCAGGCGCACCTCCTTTCAGCAAGGGGCGGAGCAGCATCCTAGCCACGCAACTGAGTGTTACCACCGCAATACCATGAGTCCGCTACAGTCCACGAATCGGACCTAATACTGATTGAGAGCCTCGTAAATTACAGGTAAGCAATGGGTAATCCACGAATCGCCCCTGAGTCTGGCTCCTCCCGCTGAGTCCGAGACTCCGAGTCCGAGACAACCAGACTTAATCTGCGACACAAAGTGGAACTCTGTCGTTGCATCGCGGCGCAGCGATGGGGTCGATTAATCGATTTGCTTTTAAAAATAAATCCAGAAAACAGTGGGCGAGCAGATCAAGCCTAGTCTACTCAGTCTCCGTGAGTCTGTATATAGATAGCCCAGAGTCAGTCACAGAACGCGGTTTGGCTCACCTCGGTGCAACTGCCGAGATTCACCTTGCTCCGCACATTACTTATTAAATTACTTAGTAAACTAAGGTGAATTTTACTTTGTTACCCAACCCAAGTAAGCCCTTTAACCTAAGTAAGCCCCTATACCTAAGCAAAAAATAAGAAAAGGCGCCCTTAAGCAAAAGGGGGGGGGTCCCCCCGATGTCCCCGAAGGGGATTAAAAAGCAAGGGGGCAAGCTAGGGGTCCCCCCTTTGCAACAGGCAAGATACACCTATAAAAGGTCTTCGAAGTAGTTTTGTATGGGATTAAAGTTAAATTTACCTTGCTTTACTAATAGTCACATGTTCTCTAGGCGGAGCAAGGTGAATCTTGGCAGTTGGGGCAAGGTGAGCCGAACCGTAGTCACCAGAGTCACGAAACGTGAAATAATTGGTAATTCCGCGCCTTTAGTATAATAACACCGCCCGGTTCACGAGCCTAAAGTTGTTAGTCCACAGGTTCAAGCTCAGAGCCTTGAATACAAAGTTTCTAACAATTTCTCCGATCCTTGTATATATCCATTCATAACTTATTTCCATTTTCACTTACTAACTATACACCTGTAGTCTACCTATTATAGTATATCCTACACACTTTAAAGGCTTAGGCATGCCTAGGCCACGGTGGGCCTTGAGGCCCTTCAATCGCTGGACGGTGGACCGTCCTGCCTTGGAGCTAGAGTGCAACTGCACAGTGCAACTAGGGATATTAAAATGTTGATATTTTCTCCACTGTGTCAATTTGTTGATAATGTCCATGTTTTTTATAACAACCCATACCGACACACACGTGACTAGGTGGGTAAAGCTAGTCCTAAAATAGTTTAAAGCTACCTAAAATTCCCCTGCCTGGCCTAGTAGCTTACAAGCTCACGTAAGTAGCTCTTTTCAGGGAAGGTGGGGCGCCGATCAGACATGTCCGATTGCTTGGTGTCAACCCTTGTCGGACATAGGGGCGGACATGGAAATACGACATGACATTTGTCATTTAACATCCCTAATATACTGCAACACACAGTAGTACACTGGACAGTAATGAGTGGCTTGGCGGAATGTCCCATGGTTCAGGAGCCCATGATTCCATTCAACTCGAAAGAATTCATCCCTCTGAGGTCATCTTGACTCGTCTGGTTGTCAGTTACCGGGAAATGGTGATGCTGGCGGTTATGAATCAATGTCCGGGATGATATAACGTAGACAGAGTAAGTACACGGGCATTCTGTCCGCCCGGTTGAACAATGTATAGCTGGCCGCTATGATTAATAATACTCCCACAAAGATACTCGTAATCCTATGGTAAATAAATAATAAAAACTACTTTATAAAAAATAAATGTATTTAAAAACTAAAAATAAAAAAATAACTAATTATTAATTACTGTGGTAAAACATGTAACCTTACCACTATATTATTTTTTTAATATAATTTTAATAAGCCTAAATTTTTGGCATAAAGCTAAAATTTTTTAATAAAAATATATAGCTATTAATAAAATAAAATAAATATATAATTAAAAAGCAAACTTTATTTTTAAAAACTTTTTAAAATATTACTATAAATACCATACTATATTTCTTAATTTTATAAAGGTAAAAAAAGAAGTAATTATAGCTTACCTATTTATATTATTTTTAATTACAGGCAAGGTAACTATTATAATACTTATTATTATTATAATATATATAGCAAGAAGCTAGCAGGTGTTATATAATTATATTTAAAGGCTATTTTAATTATTTTAAACCTTTTGTAAACTAGCGTAAAATTTAATTAAAACTTATTAATTTATAGTAATAATAACTAAAGGTTATTATTAAAAATTATTAATTTTTTTATAAGCTATTATTATATTATAACAAGCTATTTTTAAGTTTTAAAAGCTATAGTTATTTACTTCTATAAATTAGCTTTTAATACTTTTTTTTAGTATTTATTATATTTACTAGCTTTTTTTATTAATTTTATTAATTATAGTAATTATTTTTTTTAAATATAAGGTATTTAATATTTTAAATTAAATACTATGCTTGTAGCTATAGTATATTATAAATATATTTTATTTTTTTTTAAATACCTAGTTTTCGCGTAGCTTTAACTTTTATAATTACTTTTTTAAGTTTAATATTTTTAGTTTTTAATTACTATTTAATTAAAACTTATATTACCATGTTTTTTAAATAATTATATATTAAAAAATAGTAAAAAAGCTGCTTAATAATTAATAACTTAAGTATATAGCTTATACTTTTTTAAGATATTTAAATAATATTTTAATTTAAGTAACTATCCCTCTTAGGTTCCTAAATTAAATTAAAACCTTAAATAATAAATATTATAATAACTTTAGCTAATTAATTTAAGTCCTGCAAGTTTTTTATTACTTTTATAATATATTTTTTATTTAAAATTTAATTATTTTATAATAGTTTAATAAGGCGCTTTTAAGTGTGTTTATTAAAAGTAAAAATAATAAGGTATTAATAAAAAATTTTAACTACTAGCTAGTACTTTTTAATAATATTTTATAAGATTTTAAGGTTAAAAATATATTTATAATTAATATTTAAAATAAATACTATTTAATAAATTTATTTATAGGTATTTTTAATTTATTAAAAGTACCTTTTAAACTACTTTTAAATATTTAGTAGTAGTTTAATAAGGTCCTAAATAATATAATTACTTAACTTTATAATATTAGCTTTAGCTAGTACTAGTACTAAAAAAAATAGGAAATTTAATATTTTTTATTATATAATATACTATTATTATTAATTATTTATCCTAACTTTAAATATTTATTTTTATTTAATACTATTTTTATAAATATTATTTAATTAACTACCCTAGGCATGAAATCCGGTCTATTTTCCCCCTAAATTATTAAAAAAATATTATATTTATAAGTTACTTATTAATAATAAACTGGGTTAGATTACTATTTTATTTATTAATAAGTTTAACTTTTTTATTCCCTACCGGTATCTTATTCTACTTTTTAAGTAATTAAAAAAAGTTAATTTTTATAATATTTAAAAAAAAACACATGGAAGGTTTAAAAAAAGCTTTAAAAAAGTAATAAAAAAATATTTGCAAGAAAAAAAAAAGGTAAAAAAAATTAAAATTAAAAAGATTAAAAAAAAAGAGAATTAAGTAATACTTCTCTTACTAATAACCTTTTAAGTAAGATTTTTAAAAGTTTTAAGTGTTAAGAAAAAAAAAGAAAAAAAAGAAAAAAAAGAAAAAAAACTTTTTAATATTATTAAAAAAAGTTATAAAATAAAAGATTAGGAGTTAAGGGGTTAGGGTAAAAAAAGTAAAAGTAAAAGTAAGGTAAAAATAAGGGTAGCTACTAAAAAGACTTAAGTAAAGTAAGTAATATTTCCCCCTAAATATTTAAAAAAATAACTTTAGGACTTTTTTTTACTACTTTTTTTATTTAAATTTCTTGTGCTTGTTAAGAAGGCCTTGTAAATTAATCTTTTTATTTTTTATATTATTTTTTTTATTTATATTAGGTTTTTTAACTAATAAAGAAATTTAATATTACTACTTTTTTTAGTAATTTATTATTACTGCTTTTTAGTATAAAATTATTTTTTTTAACTTTTAAGCCTTCTCCTTTTTTTATTAAGTTTTTATAATAAATAGCTTAATATAATTAATATAAAAATTTTGAATATTTAATTTAAAAATAGATTTATTTAATATTATACTTTTCTTACCTTGATTAATACAAGCTACCTAATATAGCCCTATTTATTAACGTTTAAACTTTTATTTATGCTATTACTTTTTTTTAAATATTTTAGTAAAAATAAAATCCCCTTTTTTAATAAGGTATTTTTTTAATATGTCTTTTCTTACTTTTACCACTACTTATTTTTAAATATTATTTAATACTGTGAAAACCTTAAGTAGGCTAACCAGGTACAAAACAAAGTACTAAGAAGGCTATTTAATAAGAAATTAATATTAAATCTTAAGGCCTAAAATATATAAAAACTAACTTTTAACTAATTATTTTTTGCTAGGGCATTAGTCTTAAATATATTATTAAAATAATAGTAATATTACCACTGCGTGGGGGGTTAATATTATTATAATTTTTATTTTATTAATTTTTTTATTTTATTAGGGCTTAATACCCGTGGGTATAATAACTTAGCCCTTTTTTAATTAAAATTAACCTAATTTTTAAATAACTTTAATTTTTATAATAGGCATGTCTTATTATTATTTTACTTTAGTTTTACGTTTAATTATTTAAT